CCCCAAAACCCCAAAACCCCAAAACCCCATTTAAAATAACAAACTTTGAATATATTAAATAGGTTGATAAATATGAACCAAAGTTTAGAGGCTAGAATGCTCAAAAAGTCCTAAACTATTAGAAAATTCCACAAAGGCACAGAATAGGATAACAATCCTGAGGAGTAAGGAACACCTGGCTGGGATTATTGTAGGCAACTTCTTTAGTATCGAGGAAAAGGAGGAATATGAATGTGGAGAAGATCTTAAAAGATGACTTAGTAATGGAAGAAATAAAGTTGTTACTGGATGAGATAGCACTCAAGTGACAATTTGATCACTTGACTCACAAAAACAACAGTAAACTCTTAGGTAGGAGTGTTTAAATGATATAAGAGGGGTTGAAGTTGACCCAGAATGAGCCTGTGGTTAGTTAATATTCTTGCAAATTTCTGAATACTAAAAACAGTCCAAATGTTATTTATGACTGTTATAACATACCAAAATTATTTGAAACTAGATATTGCAACAAATAAGCTCGATGGAATTGTCAGTGGTGCCGATTTCATGTTAAAACTTCTCATATCCTTAAACTTAATCACAACATTTATAAGTCAATTTACCTGGGATCTAATGATTATATACTTCGGAGACTTGCCAAACTCTTCAGAATCATTAAGCTTGAGAATTTAGAAAATGACTCAGTTGATTGCTACAGCCCATTCTCTCAGGTAGATGCCAAAGCCTTAATGAAGAGCTACAATGTCTCTATATGATAGAGAGCACTAAGGAATATTTGTGCATAAGTACTTATTTTTGATCGAGCTGATCTCTTAATACTGAATGAATTCTTAAATTCTTTGGTAAGATTTATCCTGATAAGGACATAAAATTCAAGAAAGAGGCATATTTTGATTTTTAAGGTTCCTAACTATTTTTGTTTGTTTGAAACTTATTTCTCATTCTTGCTCTGCTTTTGTCAGCACCCAAGGATACTCTCAGTGATTCTTGTGTATCTCTATCTTAGGGTTCTAGAGTCTTCCTATCAAATTACACACCCTAGGATCATGTATGATAAATCATGGCATATTTCACTCCTCAGTATTCTTAAAATTAGGCATTTGGTTTGTTTTTACAAGGTATCTTAAGCAGTCAGATCCTAGTTATAGAACCCCTGCTGCTTTCTCCAGCATGGTCTTTAGGAGGCTCGGACCATTTTCTTTAGGAATTAAGCGACTTTAACTGAGCGGATTTAGGCATCCTGGTAAAAAGATTTGATCCTAGCCTAGATCTGGCCATGGCGTTTAAGGTAGAGATATCAGAGTTTAAGCGTCTTTAAGTCAAGATAGGGATAATATGTTCTGAGGTGATCTCTCAGAGTCTGAATTTGGACCATTCCTAGCTGTTAGAAGTAGCACAGAGGGTTTGCATAGAGTTATATTGGGGGAGTTGCACTAAGCTGTAGTGACTGTCTTAGAAATCAGCATCTTCTATTAATTTAGAAATTCTTAGTTCATTATTCACTGAATGTTATCGAACTAGTTAAACTTCCTTAGTTTTAAATGCTGTTGAGGATATTTGTCCAGCTAGACTTAAATATATGAGTAAAATTCTCTGTGATATAATGTTAAGTACAGTTATTATGAGATATTGCCACACAATCTAGAGGCTTCAGGTTCAGAGACTTCCTAATACATCTACTTTAAGCTTCTGGTACTGTCAATGGACATTGATGGGATACTTTCAGTAAGAACCTTAGTGGTGGTTGCATCTGGCTGGTTGTTAAGTTTAGGCATTGATTCTGATCAGTTTGGATCCTAGATCGATTTTTGTATCTATAGATATTACCAACATATATAACACAAGAAGTTTGTAGGGAGAATGAGCATAGGAGATCTAAAGGAGTCGGTAGCTGGAGCACGTGAAGAAGTAGCCCTAGGCACTTCTTATTGAAGATTTCAGGTATTTCAGCAAAGTGCAACATATAACGAAATACTAGGTTCCCGCATAGTTAAGGTTCAAATTTGTTCTGAGTACTTATGAGGGTTAAGAATGTTCACTAAGAACCTATAGAAATACAGTTACGTCAGAGCTATTCCATTTACCGTAATCGGGGGTCTTACAATGTTACTTTCTTAGATAAAGTTTGAATGAATCTATGACTTAATTTTGCACCACTGTGTTATGTTTGTCCTTAAATGAGAATGTCATTACTTAAGGTAAGAGTACAATCGTAAAACCGCCTTGGTCTAGCTGTTTGAAATGTCACTCAGGGATAACTCATGCAGTGGGGGTGTATGATTGATAGGACTCAGAATGAAGATATTAAAGGACAAGTTTTAAAATGTGCAAAAATATGGCATTGTGGTACCTAAAGTTTAGGCTTAGAAGAGTTTTGATTTTTGTCTAAAAATATGGTGTTTGGATGTATGAGGATTAAGAGATTGAGATCAGATCATCTTTTGTATAGGAGGTAGAGATTACTCCTTCTTTAGGTTTGATCAGAGAGGATGTGAAAAGTTTAAAAATGATCGATTGATTGTTATGAATGACTTAATGCTAGACTGTACTATCAAATCTTGACTCTGACATTAATAAATGTTTATTATACAATATTATAACCTAAAATAGGGGTTTTGGGGTTTTGGGGTTTTGGGG